ATGTTGGGAACCAAGGATTTGAACCGTGGATCTCTAGATTGCGAGTTGTATGTGTGAGTCTGTCATACTTCTCAATGTAAGTAGTAACTAACTTTAATTATTAATATCTTTTAAACAATTAGCCGTCTGCCCACAAAACGGGGTATAGGCGTGTTCAGCTCGACGAGCTCTACAAGCTGGCAAAGTTTCATTAATAAGTGAGTGTAATACTTGGGTAGTTCCCCTTGTCAGTCACGAACATATAAACAATTTCACGATTATCCAAGCTCTGAATATGCAAATGTACATTTAAAAAACAGCTATTATTTACGTGCTAGCTTCAAGTACTATGTACCCAGTGCATTGAATAGTATTTATAGAAAATTCAAACTTACCGAGTCCTTCGGTTTTGCATTTAATTCAACGACGGCCTTTTGGAGCTCGCAATTCTGTCGACGCAGAAGCGAAATCTGTGCAGAAAGAGAGTTATTTTTTATCGTAGGTGGAAATTTGGAGCTTTGCAATTTTCCTATTTAGAAAGAAAATTTGAAGCTCTGTAATTTCTCTATTTAATATGGAAATTTGGAACTCTGCAATTTTCCTTTTAATGTTGGAAATCTGGAGTTTTGTAATTTTCTTATTTTTCATGGGAATTTGAAGTTTTGCAATTGTTTTATTTAAATCTGAAAATTTATTTCTATATTTATGCCAGAAACTCCATGTTTCTTGGAACGAAAAATCAGTATCTTGTATAAAGTGAAGGAAGGAAAAAACGAAAAAAGGAAGGTTGACATGGGGAACGCAGTAATCATTCTAGACTTAAATATTGGTAACCATAATCAAAAGGAAGTCCGGTGGTACCTGTAGGCATACGGACCGTGCGATGTGCGTTTCTGTTTGCCTTTCTTATCTCAGGTTTGCGCTGCGATAACCGCCCTTCTCCTTTTCCAAACGTTATTTCCACCGTCCTTTAATATGGACGCCAACAGCAACAAAATTCAAACGATTTCAAACGATTCAGATCTACTGCCCATCACTTAAAACCAAAAGGATGCAGGTGATATGTTTATTATTATTTTTTTAGCAACGATTTAGTTAATCATTTCTGTTCTTAACTCAAAAATATGAAAAATATCTTTCGCATTCCTTTAGCTTTAAGTGCCTCATATATCTTCAGACCTTCCACAAAGTGAAGAGTTTTAATAGATAAATGGATTTGTGGAATTATTGGAATTTGAGAAAAGCCTTCAATCGAAGTTGTAATAAATGATTTCGAATAGGCAATTCGTGATGGACATTTCACGATTACCGTTGCATCCGATCAAAAGCCATTGCCATACCCTGTGATTTATATTCCAAGAACACGACGCAGATATCAAACGTTAATATTGGAAAACGATATTACGATTTCAGCAGGTTGATAACACGATTCACAGATGCTTGAAAGTTTGAACAACTTTAGTCGACTGTACTAGGAGGGTAGATAAATTTATTTTTCTACCATGTGAATACCTTATACACATGGATATTTTCTGTTTCTTGGTGAAAAATACTTTAACGTCGGCCAGGGGACTACTTAAACCCATTACCGATTTCCGTCCTTCTCGATGTGATTTATAACAGCGTCTTATAAATTGCACCCTCTTTAAAACTCGAAAGAGTTAATGTCGTTGATCAATTTACCAACGCGCTCGTGTTTCGTGCAAACACATAGCTAAGGGAGGGTGGTAAAAGTCAATCGTTGCGCATTAACACCGTAACGTTATAGGTATACGGGTCTCTAAGGGGTGAGACAAAAGGCATTGATATCGCTATCTATCGGTTCGTGGAACAACAGAAGAGGTATACCACAAAAGCGCACAGGCCAAACGTGGCGCACGTTTTCGGTCTCTTATGCTTCCACAAATTGTCCGCGATAACAAACCGGAACGACGTGACCGTGCAAGACTTTAATGACCCCCCGGCAGAACTATTTTTACAGCGCTGGAACAATTGCACATTCGAAGGCCGAACCGAGTAATACGCTCATGAAAGAAATACGACGATGGCATATTCCATTCGAATTAGAAAAAAAAAAAATGGTAGCAATATTGTAACGTATGATTGATAGTCTGAGTAGTAAAAAGCAGCCTTCTATCACTCCTTGCCGAGGGTTGAAAGGATTCAGGGTTGGTGTTATACGAGATAAGGTAAACGTGTTTACATTACACTCAATCCCGTTTATTATGGAAGGCAACATCTGTTAAAATAATTTCCGATCATCCCACGGTAACCCTGCCCTTATCAAAGTGCTCGACATCTGCGTATGCGTAAAGAATTTGCAGTATAGTGTGATATGAAACTAATCGAGCAGTTGCTACATGTTAAATGATATCATTCTTGTTTATTTTAATAAATGAACAACAGTTAGAAACATGGTACAAAACTGAAGGAATAAATAAATAAATAAAGAAATAAATGTTAATTATACTCACTTCTGCATCTTTTGAGTTAAGTATTTCTTGCAATTCGACACACTTTTGGTTTGCTTCTTTCAATGCATTCGATGGTTCGTCTGTGAATAAAAATAAATTGAAGGGTTTAAAACTCGACGCGCTCTCTTTTTAAATTTCCTGCTATTTGTCCGCGGATTCGGTCGATAAAACAGACCCTTATATTGACAGTCGTCAGTAACCTCTGTTACGTACAATTAGATCGTGGCTTGCATGGTTTATATGATTTAAAGAAGATTCTACACACCTATTTCTTCTACAATTCCATCTGATAACACTTCCTTCGTAAAGTTTGTCAGCTGTCCCTTTAAATTCGACAAGCTAGGTAATCCGTCACCGAACCACGCCATTTTACACGTCGACACTTATCCTTGAATATTTTGTTTCTTCAAGGATTAGTTCAGCTCCGTTTTTTAAAGTTAGATGCACCACATATTTTGGCAAAACTATACACGTCAATGGGATAAAAATATGAAAACATGTACTAACAGGAACCACGTAGTAACCTCAGTGACTACAGATGTAGAAGACTAGACGTGCCTTTGTTTTCGAGGGGTTATGATTTAGGGGGTCCCAGACACCCCCAGATGAGATTAGATCTGCATGCAGAGAGCACAGCCAGTATGATAACTTTCCCTGTTTTACCAGTCACTCTTTTACCGCACTTCAAACTGACATCTAAGAAGTCCCAATTTTCACTCCCTTTGATTCTATTTTTTTTTTAAATCAGTCAGAAGCAGCACAAAACTGACCAATTATTATTGTAATTGTTTGACAAACTTGTATTCACTTCATGCACTTTGGTAAATAAATTATTTGAAAAAAGCAACTGAGTTATTATTTAATTTACCCAATTTCATTTATGAGTTATTTATTTAATGCTCGTAATTTCTTTTTTTAGCTATTTATTTAATTGACTTAAATTCTTCTATCATTTTAGTTATTCAATGTACTTAACTCCGTTTCTCAGTTATTTATATGTATACATATAAAACAACTGTTTGATCTTTAATAAATTACAAACAGAATATACAGTAAGTAAAGTAATTACTGTGTAAAACTCAGTTTGACCTAGAACGAGGTGCGACCTCCTCAGTCTTATAGCGACCGCCGAGGGGTGCGGATTAATCTAACAAACATACATATACTTCTAATTTCCCTTCGGAATATATTTGATTTACTTTATTTATTTTTTCCACTTGTTAACAAGATCATCAAAGAGGAATAAAATTTATGATTTTATCTCTCTTCGAAGCCTCGGGGGAGGCTTAGCGACCCCTGGAGGAGGGCGGCGTGGGAGTGTGATATTCCTACTGACTAAAACCCCACGGCGACCAACACTGGCGCTAAAGGAGGGCTCTGGGACCTTAAGTACTCCGGAGCCCTTTACACCTGGCACATTAGTGCCCATCTGAGATGCCTAGCATGTGCCCGACACCAGGGGTTGCACCCGATGCCGGCTTCTAGGTACTTATGTACTACTTGGGCCGCGTGCAAAGGCATCTGGAGCCCCCACTTCTGATGCCAGCGTCCCTAATGGCCACACCGGATTTGGTGGTGAAACCGTCATATCTAGTATTGAGAAAGGGGTGAAACAAGGCTGAGCTCGAGACACTGACTAACAATGAGGAATGGGGCATAGTTTTTGATATTAAAGCAATCTGCTATTACCATCAAAGTGCGTTAGACTGTTGCAATGCGAAGTATTTCTCATTTTTATGCCAGGATAAAGCAGATGGCGTTCGTTCGCAAGGCACAAATTCGAAACCAATGGCATGTATAGTCTTGTTAGACCTGTTGTCTGTAGTCACTGCAGCAGGTGTATGTGTGCAATGAGCTGTCACATAATGAATGCCGATCAGATCGCGTATGTAATCAAGCGCGGCAATGTTTTACGATAATGGAATTATCTAAGTAAAGCGCGTATATCAAGTTCTCAGAACAGTATGATAAGTTCATTATCTTACAATCGATCATTGAAGCAACAATTTTAATATTCGCTACGTTAGAAACGTGACATGTGACATTTGAACATAAATAAACCGTATCCTTTGTCAATATTTATTCATTTTTATGTAACTTTACTTGTGAATTTTTCATATATGAATTTAAAAATTTCTGCTGAAAAATGCAGTATTATATGATTACTGTACTTCTAGTTTAGATATTGATTGATGGATTATAACAAAAAGTTGTAGAAATTCCTTTTAGTTTCATTAAAGTGAATTACCTTTAATTGAATAAATAGCTAACATTCTAGGTTCTTGGTTCATACATTAGATTATTTTCTTAGTCAAGAAAATGCATCATCTCTTTGTCATGATATCACCTTTGTTCAGTTGCATCTAATTGTACCATCTATTGGTGAATTAATTTTCTTTGTTCTAAAACACTTTCTGTAATTCTATATATTGTTTTTAATTGTTAATACACAATACATTTCATTAAAGAAGTATATAATATGAAATATTTCACTTAACTGTGTATGTTCAGTTAGTTACATATTAATGTATTTATAACATAGCAACAATGTCTGACAATTTATCAAATGATGAGAAAACTGATAATTACACTGTAGAGAATTTAATTTCTCACGATTCTGAGTATGATGATGCATTGGGAGTACCTGATTCTTTGGAAATAACTATTAATGACAACGATGTAACTATAAATCCTGAGAATAAAGAAGATATTGATAATACAGGTAAGCCTGTATTTTTGCTCGTTTCTTTCCTATTGTTTGTTATCCTTATTAACAGTTCATAATACTCTGCTTATGTTAATAAAATTCAGTTGTGCATTGTCTTCTTTTGTTTGTACCAGAGCATCTTGGTGTGATACCTTTTCCTACCATACATGATGTACCAAAAAAGTTAAAAAATGAACATCAAAATGTTTTCATTCCTGGAGAAGAAGTGCATGTGAAAATCATAGATACTGAACGTAGTGTGACAACACATCCTTTGAACCCAAACTTATACACCATAGAATTTAGGCATGGCCCGTTTACTTGGACAATTAAAAAGAGATATAAACATATTCAATATTTGCATAATCAACTGAAGATATACCGTGCTAGCTTAGAGATACCTTTTCCCACTAAACGTCACAAAGAAAGAAGAAGTAGTTTGAAGAGTTTGGGAGAAGTTAAGGAAAAACGGGGCCGTAAAGGTGCATTGCCACGGTATGAAAAAATACGTCTTATTCCAATTTTATGATCAAATGAAGAATTAATCGAAACACTACTTTCAGGTTTCCAAATAAACCTGATGTTCTAGTACCTTATGAACAATTAGAACAGAGGAAGAAAGCTATAGAAGATTATTTAACTAATTTACTAAAAATAAAAATTTATTTGCATCACCCTGAAACTGTAAGTTAGTGAAGTACATATTATTATAATATCTGATACACTAATTTCTATAAAATATTTTTAGATCAATTTCGTAGAAGTTTCCCGTTTATCCTTCATAGCAGATTTAGGTATGAAGGGTAAAGAAGGACTTGTTTTAAAACGAACTGGATCAGGGGCAAGAATTAGATATAATTTTTGTGGCCTTCTTGAAGGCATGTGTTGTATTAGATGCAATCGTTTTTGCACCTCTTTGTGTGGAAAATGGCATTCGCGACATTTTGTCGTGAAAGATACCTTTGTTGCCTATATTAGGCCTAAAGACGGTAGCATAAAGTCTGTAATTTTAATGGATAATGGTTTTGGAATTAGTTTTGGCATGTACACGACGGGCTTAAGAAATGGTATGCAAATAGTAAACCTTAGTAGGCACATACTAATCAAATGCTGGACTAGAAGAAAAGCTAAGGAATGGATGGAGTTTATACAAGAAATTAGTAACAGAGAAGGTGAGTTCTTGAAATAATAAAAGATCTAAAACTTCAAAATTGTAAATAATAAATAATATTATAGGCCGAGATTTTACACAGACAAATCCACACAATTCTTTTGCACCTTATCGTTCACCTATACCGGCCGCATGGTTTGTCGATGGATCAAGTTACATGTCGGCTGTTGCAGACGCTTTAGAAAATGCCAAGGAAGAAATTTTTATTGCAGACTGGTGGTTATCGCCAGAAATTTATATGAAGCGACCAGCAATGAACAGTGATTACTGGAGACTAGATAAAATCTTACAAAGAAAAGCAGTAAGTTACTCCAAAACTAATCTCTATTTCCTGCAGTTTAATAACTGTTTTTTACACTGATTGCATTCTATAATTTTTTCACGCTAACATAATCATGTAGGATAGTTGGTAAGGTTAATATGTTATTTAAAATATTAAATATTACAAAAAGACCGATCATTCGTCATAGTTAATTTTTCGTTTAGATTGAAGGCGTAAAAGTATTTATAATGATCTACAAAGAAGTGGAAGTCGCATTAGGCATAAACAGTTTCTATAGTAAACAACGGCTAGTTGAAAAATGCCCGGAAAATATCAAAGTGTTGCGCCATCCGGATCATGCAAGAGTTGGAGTATTTCTTTGGGCACATCACGAGAAAATTGTAGTCGTTGATCAAAGCATTGCTTTCCTTGGGGGCATCGATTTATGTTACGGTAGATGGGATAGCAACGAACATAGATTGATTGATTTAGGTAAGTTGAATTTAGAGCGAAGCATTTGTATTTCATATTTAATTCATAACATATCCTTTCAGGTTCAACTCATCATTCTAGCATTTACATTCCGTCCAAAGGAAAATTCACAAATACTAGCAGCAAAAAAGTATCAAAATGCCATACGCGAAAACATGTCTTACTGTCCTTAGCTATTGCAACTAACACAGTTGTAATGGCTACTACAAGATCTATACCTGTATTGTAAGTTTCTTAATAACTTTCTCTCTATATTATAATAATTTTGATTCTTGAATGAATGTATTTTTCAGACCAATGATGAGCATTAAAAGGTCAATACCAACAGCATTCTCACAACTGAACGCTGAAGATTTATTATTGATGCAACCACCCAATGATTTTGATACTATGAAATGTGATACTCCAAACACAGAGCGAAAAAATCTGTTTGGAATGGCAAAAGATACCATGGACAAAGTGAAACAGAATATAAAATTAAAAAGACAGGAGTTGATTAATATGGTATATAATCCAAACGAAGGTAGTAGCGATGAGGAAGACGTAAACAAGTGTGTGCATTTCTTTAATATACATATATGTAATATTTAAAATTTACACGCAATTGAAAAATGACTATATTTTTAGCGACACAATGGAAACTCCAATTGAAATAAGCGAAGCAATGGTGTACGAGGAGGAAGAAAGTGTATACTCAGAGTATCCAGGAGTAGCAAAATTGTGGCTCGGAAAAGACTATACAAATTTTATCGTGAAAGACTTTAATGATCTTGAGAAACCCTATCAAGATTTAATAGACAGAAGTACGACACCTAGAATGCCATGGCATGACATAGGAGTTATGGTGCAAGGAGCATCAGCCAGAGATATTGCCAGGCACTTTATTCAACGATGGAATGCAATCAAGGTAAGTGCCATTTAATATGCAATAGTATAATATCTAAGCTAACCCTCTTGGTTTATAGATGGAAAAAGCAAAACTGAATTCATGTTATCCATTTCTACTTCCAAAATCATACAGAGACTGCAGAAGCAGCGTACCGTTTATCCCAGAAGAATCTATTCACAACATTAAATGCCAAGTGTTAAGATCAGTTAGCTCCTGGTCTGCAGGCTTTCTTGATTCACAAACTTTAGAACAGAGTATACAAGAAGCTTACATCCAAGCTATCAGTAAAGCAGAAAGGTGGAACAAATATGTACAATGTATACAAATTGCCATATATTTCAAAAAACTTATTCTAATTGTTTCTTTAGGTACATATACATAGAAAATCAGTTCTTTATTACTCTTGCATCTATGGAACGAACTGCAGTAAAGAATCGTATAGGAGAAACATTATTGAAACGAATTTTAAGAGCACATAGAGAAGGTGCAGTATTTAGAGTATTTGTAATAATGCCTCTGTTGCCTGGCTTTGAAGGGGAAGTTGGAGGACCAACTGGTACTGCATTACGTGCTATAACACATTGGAACTATGCTTCCATATCTAGGTAAGAAACCTGATTGATGAATCTTGAATGAAAATTATTCCAAGCATTTTCCAATCTCAAACAGGGGTAAAGATGCTATCCTAAATCGACTAATTGATGCGGGAATAGAGGATCCTAGCGAGTATATTACATTCCATGGTTTAAGAGCTCATGCAATGTTAAACGGTACATTGGTGACTGAACTGATTTATGTTCACAGTAAGCTATTAATTGTAGATGACAATACAGTCATTTGTGGATCGGCTAATATTAATGACAGAAGTATGATAGCAACAAGGGACAGCGAGATTGCAGTGATAATTCATGTAGGCATCATCAGTGCTCTTGCAAATATAACAATCGTGATTTTTCAATGATCCTATAATTACAGGATCGAGAGTTTGAAGACGGCAAAATGAACGATATACCGTTCCCTTGTGGTAAATTTGCAGGATCCTTAAGAAAACAATTAATTTCTGAACATCTAGGATTGTTTAAAACAAACGAAGATATAAATGTAACTGATATAATTAAAAAGTCATTCTACAGAGATATATGGTGTGCTAGAAGTAAACAGAACACGGACATTTTCGAAGAAGTATTCCATTGTATACCTACAGACAAGGTTGTTAATTTTTCCATGTTAAAACAGTATCAGGATGAAGAATCACTCTGTTCATCAAACGCACTTTTGGCTCAAGAAATGGTTGAAAATATTAAGGTACAAATAAGTACAAGAATGTTAGTAAACATTACTGTAAGAAGATTTAATATTATTATTCAACTGGTTTGTAGGGTCATTTGGTAAACATGCCATTAAACTTTCTGTGTAACGAGGATCTGAAACCTGCTGCTGGCACAGTGGAGGGAATAATGCCAACAGCTCTATGGACATAAGTTGTTTATAATCAAAGTTAAATAGCATCTACAACAGTATTTCTAATGTTGTTGATCTAAAATATTTGATTAACCAAAGTACAAAAGATTGTATTGTATTTATGACTGGATATTTTACAGTGCTTTCTGAAGAACTATAAATATTTACTTGCAATGAAATAAGGCTGCTAAGAAATATTTTTGCATAGTCAAAGCATATTTACTAGTATTGTGAATCAGTATGCATAATATACTGTTAAGAATGTAAATATCTCTTCACTTTCAATTTTAATTAAGTTTTCGTTCAAATATTAATGGAAATTTGAAGAGAAAGGGTATCTATATTGTAATTAAGGTGTTAGGTTCTAATTTTACATTAACATTCCAATACAATCTACCTCTTTTGTAGAAAAAAAATGATATTGATATTAACGTAGTAATTGTTACTAATTTTAAACGAATTTTGTTACTTGAATCGCTTAGAATGAATTTTTAATCAACGCTCGATCATTCATGACAGATAATAAACTTTTTAAAAATATTTAAATGTGCCTCTTAAACAATTGATTTTTGTATCAAATTCTTTTATTAAATTCAGCCATGTATGCAATAAAACACTATGTAAAGTTCTTTTACACACTGAAGTTTTAATTTTGATTGAAAATGGTGCTCTTAGTGCCATATAACAGTAAGCGAAACAGATTATCCCAAAAGAAAATTTCTTTTTCGAAAAATAAAGAAACTTAGAACTATGGTAATTCCCGGAAGCGTTCGATCGTCAATGAAATTATTGTATTTCAATGCGGTGTGAAATAGGGGTGGTTAAAGGACTTTGAAATGCTCAGCCATCTTAGCAGTAGATGGCAGTAGATGGTAGTGGCGCGCCCAATCAAGCATGACGTTCCGCATTACCGATTCCACGGCCAATTACATTTAAATACTTCCCTACCTACATTAAAATGTTATTCCCCTTCGATGAGCTTATTTAATAAGCAAAGAAAATAAATAAACTAAATTAAACAAACTCCGGAAAGAAATTAGATGATTATTATACTGGTTGTGCCCTCTACGTATGGGCCTGATTTCATCCCGGGGTGTCAGGGACCCCAAGCACCGGCGATACTTATAGCATCGGGGTGTCAGGGACCCCAAGCACCGGCGATACTTATAGCATCGGGGTGTCAGGGACCCCGATGCATCGGTGGCGCTCTCTACATATAGACCTGATTCATTTCGGGGTATCAGGGACCCCGGTGACTCTCTTTACGCACCGACAAAATATCATCTTGGGGTGTCAGGGACCCCGGTGACTCTGCGCACCGACCTAATATCATCTTGGGGTGTTAGGGACCCCGTAGCTAAATTTATTTAGTCATGTTAAATTTGTTAAACAATTATTTTAATGATTTTTCGGCCGCATTTTCTTCAGCCAACAATTTTTTCGAGTCGCCAAAAACCATTCTCACAGATGTTTTCCTTTGCGAAAAGTAGCGTATTTGCAAAGTTTGACCTGAATTGGAGCATGACAGTTTTTAAAGACTTTATCGACTTCGTCGATAATCTGATTTTTATCAGCTGTCCTGTGGCACACTCTATGATGTAGAATGACGATTTTAGGATCTACTTACTTACATCAGGTTAAACGATCTATGGATCGCACTTGTCGATAATGAAAAGAAGAAAAAGTCAAAGAAGTTTGAAAAACGGGACATGCGAAATTTCAGCCTTTTCCTAACATCCAAAATAATTTTCAGTCTTAATGTTAAAAATATTAATATTAAGAATAATTTAGAAAACAAAATAACATAATTTTTAATTATTAAATATTATAAAATTTAGTATAGAAGAAAGTTCGAAAACATACTAATTTTTGCGCGTAAAAGTTTACACTCACATGACAAAATTACGGACTACATATTGGGGACGACCTCCCCCGCATCGTCACTCTCCCTCGGGAAGCCTATGATGGTTGACTTTGTACTACTTTGAACTACTACTTCAGGAATGATTCTTAAAACTTTCAGTGACCGACGTGTATCTATCTAACCAGGAAGAATTCCAACGAAATAAAATAAAAAACACGTCGAGATCGCGGCAGAATCGACACCGTTTTCATGCCAGAGGAGAAGTTGGAATCCATGAAACGAGCGGTCCTCTTCGGCCGATTGAGCGTACCGATAGTCGAGCTTACGATTTACCGTCATTCGCGCGGATCGGCGAGCACCAGTCACAGATAGAGAACCCTCTGAATCGTAGCACCGATAGAGCCACGGTTGCGTTATGTTGCCGCTAATTTGGATTTATGTTCGCATTCGCACGTCCTGCTACGTCTGCCGACACCTCGAGCGGCCACCGACAGATCTTCGATCGGAGCCCGCTCTTTTTCTGTTTCTTTACAGAAAATTCAGCGGCCGTTGCTTGTATCGCGCCGCGAGAAGCCGCGATCATGGAATCGGTAACGAGGGAACGTCGCGTGGATGATGGATGTTTGCCAGCAGCTTTCGCCTTGTTCCTGCCGCTTCATAGATATTTCGAATTTGATAAATTGTCAGCGGATATCACCTACCATTGGATTGAAATATTGTCTAAAGACACTCGCTTTATGTAAAAAATTCTTTTGCGTTGAAGCGTGTAAATCGACGACAACGAGTAACCCTACACCTACTCCGCACGAAAATTGCATCAAGAAGCGGGGGCGGTGTGAAAAAATCAAAAGATCTACTCGAATAGCGTGGTAGCAAGAATTCTAGCCAAGCTTATTACCCGTCATTATCGTGGCTCGGACAACCACTGTAATCCGTATTTCATTTTCTCCCGGTTTTTCCCTTAACCCCCCAAGTGGTTACGAGCCTAGATTACAGGCGTCGCTGGACGACCGATAGTTTCCGCGATACGAGTTTCCTGGTGAATATTCTCGCTGATTTCCACCCTTCTGCTTGCAATCAAACGAAATTTGAACGTTTGACACGCTCGAGGTTGCGTGTTTTTTAAGCAAACTGAAAGTTAAGGCACTGCACCTGATTTAAGGCCACAATGATAAAAACGATGGATCCGAATGTCAGCGGTTTTTAAGCAAATCGTCCAATTACTATTTCAAGGCTATGAGAAAAACGGTAGCTGGCAGTAATTGGTTTCAAATTCTCGAAACGTTTTCGCTTAATTAAAGGAACGGAACGAAGCAAAACGTGGGCAACATTGTCTGGTCTGAAACAGGTTCACCGTTCTGCACACAGTGACCTTTCGTTTCAGCTCGCTCCTTCGGCGACCGGTGAGGAGGTCGCGAGGTTGCACGGAATAAGAAAAGAAAAATTAATTGCAATCTTTTCTTCAAACTTACAATGGGATTGTCTTAAATCAGTCCTATTTTTAGAATCGCTGTTTTAATTACAGTAGCTGCTGATTTGCGATTCAGATCGACGAGCTAATTTGCCGAGAAGTCGGCTCTACAAAAAACTAATAGCACCGTAAATTTTGCCCGGCGATAAGGAACCGTTTTTCTTCTGGTTGGTAGATCCCAGACGGGTATACGTCAACGTAAAATTTAATTATCGTTCTGCATAGTTCAATAAAGCACATCGTTTCTGTTCGAAAACTATCTCGATTCGAATAAGGGTACGTTTAATAAAAATTAATAAAATGAAAGATTAAATCGAACCGGGCGCGTAATGTCTCAAGCGAGCTATGCATAATTAAATAGTCTCATCTTGTTGGAGGGGTCGGTAGAAACCATCGTTCGATAAATACCGGCACGTATTAAGGCGCTGATTAAAGGACAACGGACGAGATTGAATTAATATCTCGTCGAGTCTTTAATTAAACGGCTCGGAATAAATGAGCCTCGCGATTTTTATTCACCCCCTGCCGCCCCTCGCCGATGTATTTCTATGAGATATTACTTACCGAGCAATTAGTTCTATCTTTCTTAACCCTTTTAACCTATCGACCTCTGTTCCTCTTCAGCCTCGCCGCATCCTTGGGACCGATTACATTCTCGCAGGACAAGGTTGTTAGAAAGGGTAAGGAGAAAGACCGGTGAACGTGTCTATGGCTAGGTAATAAGGCGTAAAAGGAGAATAAAATAAACGAAACGTAGCCGTCGACGACCTCCCCTTACCCGATGAAGCGTTAAATTTGTTTAAAAATATCAATAAAAGTATTGAATACCGAAAGAGGATGATCATCGCCGATTTAGACGGTGATTGAGTAATTATTAATCGAAGCCGGTGGTGCCGCAGGATGAATGTAAAATATTATTGTCAGCGGGTTTCATAATTTTCCAAACGGGTTTCTGCGGTCAAGTACGAACGATTATCGGTAATCGTAATCATCGGGGGTATTAAACGGGCGGTCGTTTATAATATTTATTCGCGACAGAAGGTTGGCTCGCGGCGTTCGATAGCTGCCGATTGCAAAGCCATCCGAGACGATTAATCTCCTTCGTCTTTTATCCGTCCTGAGATCCCGTGTATCTCATCTTTCCATCGAAAGAAGGTTAATCCCTATCCCCGCTCCGTGATTCCCACTTATCGTTTTAACCCCTTGACCCCGTGGTTAATTCCCTGCGTGTCGGTGCTTCGAGTTTACTTACCGCCTGCCTCCTCTTCCCTCGCTACTTTGCATGCGACGATGCGCATTTTGCGAATAACGAGACAAAAATTTCAATTAACGCGAAGGAACTCTTAAACTAACTCTTCCCGATTAAACTTATCATTGTTAACTGTTACATTTCAAGGGGGTAATAAGAGCGAAACAAGCATGTTGTTTTTTCTTTTTCTTCTTTTGGGTATCCGATCATCGTTCAGTGTATTTATTTACCAAGCCACGATCGATCTCCGAATCGGCGCGACAATGCTTGTTGCCCGTAATGAATCTTGCTTGTCGCATAATGAGAGTATAAATTATGCGCTTCTCTTGTACAACGAGCCTCCTCTCTTTCCCTCCACGATTCACCGTGAGCTTCGTAATAAATTCTATACTATAACAGCCTCTCTACCTCTTTTTTCTTCACTCTTTGTTTCCTTCTCGATTCGTTCCTCCTTCAAAATAAAAAATTCAATCCAAAATATAAAATTCCTTTTTCCCGCGGTTTCCTATCAATTTCCCCGTTCTCATTACCCGCTCCACCGCACCGGTAAGAAGCTTTCGAATACGTTTTTTGCCAATTTTTCCTCGTTCCCCCGTGGCAGCTATCGTTCCTCGGGATCTCATTGTTCGTCCTCGTTCCTCTGGTTTGCGCCTGGTTAAGGTGCTCGTTGTTCACGTGAAGGTGTATCGGCGCGTGTTCGGCCGCGCTCGAGCGGGCTCGTATATATTTACCTGGCAATTAGTTTTGCGGAGAATGTTGTTGTCCTTGGTCGTACGGACACACGAGCAATCCCGCTCGTTTGCGGGGGTGTCCCCTTCTGCACAGCAGTCTCTATATCGCGTTCGAACATACCCGGACGGCTTCTATCCGCGGCTTCTCCAGGAGGTGCAAAACGGGCGCAGGTGCAACGCTTCTGCGTGCCTGGAATTTCCCTTCCATTGTCCGTCTCGAGAACCCGCGGGAAATCATGCTATCGTTAGTGGTCGAAATTTTCCGTGTCTTGAATTTTTACGATATGAAAGAGGATTAAAACGAGAGGTTGTAGCTATAAATTTTCTAAAAAGCTTCAAGTGCGCATCCAGAGACCTTCTACACGATACGTCCAATGATATCTCCTGCTAATCATTTTTAAGTTCCCTCTATCGAACCGTTATCTCGGACAGCCTTAAAACAGCCACGATACCGATTTTTCTCGATCCTCAGTTAAACACATCCACGTTTAAATTACATCTGCTTAAGAGTGTCGGCAACGAGACCGCTCTCAGATCGCGAAACAATGGCGGACCGATAAAATAACTGGAGGATTCATTTATTCTACGTAACTATACGTGCCTACAGTCTCGTAAGACTACCCTACGGATCAGTGATGCGCAATCGTTGGCCCTGGACCAATGTTATAAATCTTGTATCCTTGATCGTCCAAAATGTTCAAATAAAGAAACCTACTGTATATAATAAAAAGAACGAAAGTACACATTTAAGGTGGTCAGGTTAAGGTAGGACATAAATTTATAATATGAAGTTCGTTTAAATTTAGAAACGAGTTTTGCGCACCACTGTCCTATCAGCAACGAGAAAAACCATCTTCCCCTCTGCCCCATCTACTTTGGTCAGTTACTCCCCTTTAACACCACGGTACTACTTTTCTGCCAGCGATTCAGCCACGATAGATCGAAGGGAAGAGAGCAACAGCTTCAGCGTCGATCCATCCATTCCCCTTTTTGCTTGTTCCTCTTCTATCAGCCGCCTCTTCCTTCCTTCCTTCCTTCCTTTCTTCCTTCCTTTCTTCCTTCCTTCCTGGAGCGTTGGCTCGATTTTTTCGGTTGAAATCTCGCCAAGAGTCAGAGGTAACGGAGATACGCGGTACGAGGTGTTGTTGCAACAAGGTGTTAGATTAATTGTACGATTAAATCGTCGTAAATCTCGAAAAGGGACGCCCACTGCCCTCGTGTGGCCGCCCTCTTTGCTTCTCTCGGGGATGATCGAGCGAGAGCAACGAGAGATGTATCGGTGCGAATAAAAGAGAGAAAGAGGAGAAGAGAAGAGCTCGACGTTTCCAGGCCGATACGAATCTTTATGGCGGAGAGATTCTCTCGCCATCCTCGGTACTTCTCGACCCTTTTGCTTCTCTTTGCTCGCCATCTTTTTCTTCGTTTGTTTTGTTAACCAGCCGCTTCCTCCTCGTTCGGTTTCTTCAAATTGGAACACCTTCGCCTCCGATGAGCATCCATGAATTTTTAATAAGAAATGAATTTTTCCGTGATTTAATTCGATTGCTTGTTGAAAATCATCGATGTGACCGTAAGGTATTTTATAATCGAGATGAGTCATTTGGATTTATTCGTCGATTAGATTCGCATTACTTCTGGACTTTCACTCGCCCACTATTTCGAACTGCTTTCGCTTTTTCTTTCACGCTGTTTATTCTTTTGATAGGTATAATAAGCATTTATTTTTGGAATGCTTCGATGATCAAAGCTATGAATTTAAAATTAATTACCATTTGGAGGATAACTAATTCCATTTAAAAATCACAACTCAATTAAAAATGTTTTATGAAAAAGTTATATAGAGCAAAAAAATTTAAGATTTATAGGTATTGATGTAATTAGATAGGGGTCAAGGTGGTCGTGATTCCCCAAAATATCTGGATTGACCCCTCTTCAAAAATGTGAGCACTTATCATTCTAAAACTTGAAGATTCCAAAATTACAAATTTTTACATCACTCCAGAAAAAGGTTTAACTTACGCCAACATTGGTAGGTAAGGTTTTAATGAATCAGTACCTTTTGGTGGTTTTGCAGCACATTTTTTTTTTTATTTTTTTTTTCTTTTTTCTCTGCTTCGTGTTAGTATCTCGCTTCCACATCCTGACAGCAAGAACGTCGGCATACAATAAAAAATTATATGTATATGTAATGTCTGATTTCACCGGTATCATGATAAATGTCCGTCGTTTGTTATTGATTAACGATGCGATGTGTCTCTGCATTAATCTCAGTACGGAACAGTCGAAACAATGATTAAACGATGCTAGATATAAATACGTAATAAATTCGCAACAAGATCGTTCTTAAAGTAGCAAAGAAACAACTCTTAAATCCTAATTAAATAAACTCGGTTAACACTAATTAACATATTAATTAATTAGCAGTCACACTGCTTGGATATAAATAATGCGTTCGCATGCCGTTTCGCAATTATGTACAAGTTCAGAGAATACGAATCGGTTCGCTGAGAATCACCGGTAAAACATGGAAGCGCGTGTTTCTTTTTTCTTTTTTTTTCTTTTTTCATTTAACTAATTCAGACAATTAAGTAAATCTCGTTGTGCAGTCAGAAAGAGAAAGAACAACGAACAACTCTCGTCCGACCGCAAACGGCTACCTGGATTCTTTAATCAAAACTCTAGGAATAATTTCGACAAATTTTTCGTCGCGACAATATATCATTTGTAAGGTAATAACTGTAATAAAACTTTTATCATTTGCTTCTGCTTGTAATTAGAAAGGAGACACAGTTTGCCCCAGCCGCTTGATTCATCCTGTACAAACCACGAATCGTACAACTTGTACTTTGGAACTCGGTATACCTTACTGCTTGACGGAAGTACCGGCTACCACTAAAGAAACTACGAAACCCTGCTACACAATGGATTATCGTAAATTTCGCGAAGAAAGCAGAGAGTTCTGTGAACTCTGAATCGAGCGATTTGCGAGCCTCACGACCGGCTCGACGCGTTACACGGAATCCTTTGGAAAGTGTAATACGTTAGATCGTTAGATAATGGAAACGGTTCCGTTTCCCGATGTTTTCGAATAAAATTCTTCGGCTCGAGAGCTCGAGCAAATTACAAGGAAAAATCTCGTTGTTTGTTCGAGCATGCCGCTAAAAGGCGCGGAGATAAATCTGAAAGGTGTTCGATCGTAATCAATAATATCGTCGAATGGAACCGATAATCCAGCGTAGTTTACGGTTATCGCTGATTTGCAACGAGTTGAAAATTACGACGACCTTCTCGGGTTTTCTCGTTCCAGGGACTCAAAAGTGGCGGAACAGGTATTTCGAAGTAATTTTGATAAGAACACCCGCTCGATCGTCGCTTCAAATTCTAATAACACCAACTTTATGGAGATTATTAAAGTGTTGCTTAAGAGAAATGGTACGATTTCGATTCGATGTTCCGTTTCGTTCGCGATTTTACGAGAATTGTATAGCAGGCTTAAACCATGTACACCATCGAAATCGAATATTCTCGCGAATTTACATATTATTTTTTTTGTAAGCCTCGTCGAAAGGACCACGTTACTCGGGCAATCGACGTTTTTAAACGAGCGGCTTCAATCTGAGATAAGTTTGTTAAGAGGAAAATTTAAATTTTCAGCCCAATCTCTGTGTTAAGAAAAAAAAAAAAAACGTGTCATCCTTTTGACATAGCTTGTACTTAATTTCTGATCGCCTAATCAGAAAAGGGAAACATCAGGGGTATGCGAAAATCTGAAAATTTCGGGTACCCGACGCGAACAATGCAGACTCGACCTGACCCGACTGGATTAGAACAATGCAGATCCGATTTGAGCTGACTCCAATCAGAGTGGACCCGATATTTTTCGGTTTCCGCACATCTCTATAAAATAACTTTCGGTTGATTTCGAAAAAATAATCGAGCCGATTGCCACGTTCTTTGGCTTAACGATCCATTCCGATGAATTTCACAGATACCCGTCGGAAATTGCGCTTGTAGGACGAAGAAGAAAGAACGTTTCGATCGTTGCAATTTAATTGCATCACCCTTTTGTTCTCTATCGTTCGATTTACAATGCAGCTCGACAACAAACGCGAAATCGAAACCAGTCACACGACCTCGACGTCTTACGCAGAACTTTCTAACAATATATAGTTACGTATAAAATATATGTATATGTATATATTAATACGGCTACGAACTCGGTTAAATAAATAAAAAATAAAAGAAGAGAAAAAAATACGAACGTACAAAATGATTATGCCGAGTATTCTTTCCTATGTACAACCGTATCTCGGTGAGCGAAACGTTTCCGAGTGTTAGTAAAACTGGGTGAGTTCTTAAATAAACACAATAAGATCGCGTTAAATAAACATATACATACATAGACCAGACGAATTCCAGTGGTTCACGTAATCCTCAACCTTAATCGTTTCATCTTAACTCGTTGATTAGAAAAATATCTCCTTTGCAAAGGGTTAATGGTCGAGTAGAAAATTTAACGATCGAAGATCAGTGATCGTCGGGAATTCCGCATTGAAAGTTTAAATAAATCTTACTGGAAAAAATGGTTAATGTCTGAGAAAGTAAAGAGTTAACACCGCTAATGATAATTAATCAACGGTTAAAGGGAAAAAGGAGATGAAAGAAAGACGGAAATCTCTTCGAGTAACTTAACAGGCGACTCACGTGAGTCGCCGGGATTCTTATACGCCTAAATTGAACTTACACGCTAGATCGTTCATGGAACATACAACGTTTAATATATCATAGATATATGGGACCAAAATCACCAGAACCAGCCGCGCAAACTTTCACGCCTCGAGCCATCCACGATCGCCATTCAGCTATATTTTTTTTTTCCCTATCTTTCCGAAGAAATTCTATGCCCTCCGTCGAGAGGGGAAGGCGTGACCGAGTATCCTAGGACGAATTGATTGTGCGTCGATCGTTTCACGGCGTACAAGCGAAATGTTCCGCTCCGCTCGACACGCAACATCGTACGCATCCTGAAAACGAGTCGTGTGTCGGATGGAAACGATTTTTCAGGTCGAACAGGAAGGCACTTTTCTAGTCTTCTAAGATATGTATCAAAAATATATCTAATGTATATTCTTATAAAAATAGATCAATTTATCTGTAATAACTTTAAAAATCACAAGATACTTGGTTTCTTACCGCTCTTTATCGAGTCAAAAAATGGCGGGACGGTTGAAGCCACAGCGAATAGTTCCGCTGGCTTCAGCGTATTCCTAGATCGTGGATCCATAGATCGGATGCAGCTCGAGGCTGCGGCGACCGGCGCTGGTAAGCAATCGTGAGAACAGAGAGGAAAGAGCAGTTTCTTCCCTTTTCTCCAACGAAATCTCCACTTACTTCGCTTCCTCCTCGTTGTTTCTCCGTTCTCGAGCAACGAAGTTTGGGATCGTCGAAGCCGCACACCCGAGGCTCGCCGGACGTACCTCCGGACGAGATCTCGAGCGCGTCGATCGTTCGTCGTTCTTTCGACAATATGGTAGATCTATCGCAAATACCGCGTGCCAACGCGAACGATACCCGACGACACGGTGCATCGACAACGTACTAATGTTAGTACAACGGTATATAATACCGATTTAATACCAGCATTAGTACGTCACAAGGTTAACTCTATGGTTAGTGAGAACAGATCGGTTAACAAAATCCTTTGTAATATTTTACGGGAACCTAGTAATATTACTAGCAGCATTATCGTACTCTATCATTACTGTATTAGTAGAACGTTAGTATTACCTGTGCTTAATATACTGTTGCTTGTTGACCGATATCGACGCGCCAGCACGCCATTACCATTTGCATCGAAACTGATTTTTATCATAGAGAGAAGAAAAGAAGGGTAAGAAATTTTGGATAAGAAACATACCGGTCGAAAGATCGCGAAGTCGACCCTGCGGTCGTCCCAATCGGCACGCGACTCCTGGGTCGCGGGAAAATCGTGGATCGTGTCTTAAGTTTTACCGGATATTCGATTATATTACAACAGAGAGAAGTTAGGAGAGAAATAGAAAAGGTTGCTGGAAGAAAACTGAGGGGATGGGATAGAGAATGGGGTTCGCCCAAAACGGGCGTACTAAATGGTACCCAACCGCGGCCGAACGTCCACGAGGGACACCATCGGACACGGATGGATCGTATTTTTACCTTCGACCTCTGCACTGATTATCCTTTCAATCAGCCATACCGAAAGCACGCACGCAACAGGACCAGGCACGCAGCACACCATCGTTATATCGTGTTAAATGATTGCACGTAGAAAGGGAATCGGAAGCCCTTTTTTCCCTTCGATGAGTAACCAGGCTTAAGATCAACGATCCGAAGTCTGGAATCGGTGGAGAGACGTTAATCCTTTGCCGTCGCTCGTTTCGAAGCGACGATTAATCCAAACGTTACCACGCCTCGTGATATATTTTAATAAATACTCGAATCGAGGAAAGTTGTAAGAATCGAGGAGGTAACACCTGGAGCGAGAGCAAAGGTTTAACGGTACCCCGTTTAAAGGCAGTAAGGATGGCAGAACTGATAGACGAGCCTCTGGCTACGCTCCGTCTTCTTCATGATTCCTTTCTTGTAGTATTGTCTGATGCTACGACTCAGCTTGTCGTAGTTCATGGCCGGACGATTTTTACGCTTGCCCCAGAGCCTGGCCACACGGACCGAGTCCTCGATCTTGAACACGCCCTTGCCACGATCCAGCCAGCGTATACAGGAACCGTGGACCCCGGGACTCTGCAGCAGTTCCTTCAGGAACTGCCACAGGTGAATGTGAGAGCCACCGTTTCGCATCTTACCGCCGCCAGCACCGCCGCCACCGGTTGTTCCGGTCTGAGAGGAACCGCAGTCTTCGTCTTCGTCTGGAAAAAATCGGCATCGAGGCGAGACGCCTCCTTTAGTCACTTGTCCAGGCGGCGACGACACTGTTTCTGTAGTGATTTAGTGTTTTTGTTAGCGCGTCGGAGTCCCTTGATCGTATTTGTTTGATTCGTTGGTAGAATAATGTTAATTACGTGTCTCGATTAGGTACATGCACTTGGTAGATTAAGTATACGAATGAAAATTGACTCACCATCAGAGAAATCGACGCTACAGGAGGAGCCCTTCACACTGACTGGAGCCGCGTTTCCGATAGTCGACGATGTGTTATTATTGTTATTGTTAGGTGTCTGAACAACACCCGCGGGACTCCAAGAAGCCGCCAGTGTGTTACGCGGAGATTCCTCGACGGCTGCTTTCCAAATTTCCAGCTGTGCGTGTAGGATACTTCCACACTGAAACAGAAACCAACGTCTTATCGTTAATTTCTGAAATTAATTTGTCAAAAAAGTCATCTTATCTCTAACGACTCCGCGCGACGTCCATTTGCATGAATACCTGTCCTCCCGATGCTGCAAGAACTTCCAGGAATGTGTTCGGCAGTGGGAGGAACGGTGGGAAGAGAAGGAGAAGAAAGAGAAGAAGAAGAAGTCAGGAAGAGGCGAGTAGATAAATTTATCATACCCAGAGATTAATAGCGACCCGCGAGAGTTCTGTGGTAATGTAAAACAATTAAGTTTCACGGTAACTGTACGAACGAGCGCAAGATAAATAAGAAGGAACGCAAGGTGGCGGAACGAGCAACAAAAGCGTACTCAGACAGAATTGGAATACTTAATGATAACTGTAAATTTTCGACTGAATAATTTCGGAGCCACTGTGAAACACGATGCAATTACCTTGAAACACCGGCGAGGAACAGTGTAAATGGAAAACAGATGTTGTTTTCAGAGTTAATGGAATACATTCAGATGGCTGTTACAGATAATTAACAGAACAATTCGAAAATAAAATTATTTCATAAAAATTCATCGATACGTTGATTATTCGCTAACCAGACACCGCAACGGCTTTTTTCGACCCAATTTCCAGGATCGTCTTCAAGTGCCACCTTATCAAGGTCGCCAGAAGTTTCAGCATCCCCCAACCGCTTCAGCCACGCCAGTCGGTTAAACATCGAACTCGTGGGAGGGGAGGAGGAAAGGAAGAGACAGTAGGAAAATCCGATGAGAGAAGAAAATGCAGAGGAAGGTGGGAAGGGGGGACGGTGTCGTAAGGGGAATACTGGATACGTAAGCGTTAGAATTCCATCGACGGAGTGGTTGCGCCGTGCGAGAAGAGAAAGCGGCTCTGCTGAGACGCAACAGGCAGTCGAGCAAGCCAGCCAGGCATTCGGTTGACCCACTTTTCGATCCTTTCTGCCGGGCAAATAGCTCGTCCGCCAGCGTATATATACGCGAATGTCGATCCTGTTTCTCCACGTCGCGTCGCGTTGCGTCGCGTCGTGGAAGCAAGGGAATTGCGGGGGGAAGAAAAGGGGGGCAGAGGGGAGGATCGAAGAAACGCACCTTAGATGCAGTTATGCACCGCGCAGAGGCCGAGTGCACACACGATGACGACGCGTGACGCGGTCACCGGTCTGAGAGCCCGTTCGCTATTTCTCTGCTCCAACTTGAAGCACGCTAATCGCGTATCGGTAATATCGCGCGATCGTTTCACGATCATCGCGAGTTTCACCGAGCGAAACCCGTGCCGTGAAACCGGAGTGCATCGAGCAAATTGCATATTCGCCGGATCCAAATGCCGAGTACGCGACTATGCGTACTCCAGGGGCACGGCCGAAATAAACATGCAAACCTCTGCCGGAGTAATTTCAGCTGTCGTGGCAATGGGAAAACAGTGCATCGGATCCTCGGAAACGTTCCGGGAATCGAATTCCCAGCGGTCGATTATAGCGCCGGCTCGCACGCCGAACATCCATAACGAATGCGGAATACATTAATGACTTCTTCTTCTTCTTCTTCTTCGGGGTTTCACGAGCGGTATGAATTATTTAACCGACGTGAACGGTGTTCAATTTCAGGTCAAAGGCAAACGGGCAGAGAGCCGATTTTTCCGCTCGTTTCGCGAATTACACCGAATCATCCACGAGTGAGCTCGATCATGATTCCACGTTACAAAGTCACTCGCTACGGAGTACGGTGTAATTATCCAATTACGGCAGGCAAAACTGAACTCCATTATGCACGACTACCCATATCCTCCCGTACTATGCAAATACTATGTTTGCAGAAACCTTCCGGTGTTTATCGATAGAAAGCAACATAAATTTCAGACTTAAAATTCGTGCCAATGTAACATTCGGATCGGCACAATTCGCTTTTATTGTTAATAGCGAAAAGGGTTGAATCGAGCCGGGTAAATAACGGTCAATCAGAGGGTACAGAAATGTGCAATCGACGGGACTAAAAGCACGTATTCGAGTTTATGTAGCTAAGGTATCGGGAGAATCCTGGTTCCCGTTAAACGGCACAAACCGTATTATTACGCCAGTTGCTTACTCACGTCGACGTTCTTGTGCCCCTTCGCCGCGTGGATTACGAGGAAAGAACGTGGACTCACACCGATTTCCAGGAAATTCACTTTCACCGGACCTTGTCCGTGAGTGTTTCTCGGCTGACTCGCCGCCATTAGTTTCTTTATCGAACGAGCCCAGGTCATCGTTTAATTATTTTTTTTTTGTCAGATCCAGCAACAACGAAATCACAACCCTCAATTTATTCATAGTCACGATCGCCATAGATATAACGGAAGTGAACAAGTTTATCGACGACTTATTATTTAATGAGTAACGAGTTTCTTTTTATCGTCTTATGCTAATCGATTTCTTTCTATAAACTTTACAATCTGTTTTGAATTCCACCGAAGACACGAGATAACCCCTTTTAAAAAACGCCACGAGATAATGTTCAACACATTAACGACCGACAACATCATAGAATCTACGACCTTTGTAATTTTACGAGCGTTTCGATTAGATTGCAGTTGTATCATTAACGCGATTCATCAAACAACCGATCTCCAAATTACCCATAACCATAGAAAAAACAATCTGCTTGTCCCTCAGCGTGCAATCATCTTTCAATCGAACGTTTGCACCGGCGATTTATTAAAACACCACGAAATTCCAGAGACTAATTGCTTCGTTAAAACGGCACTCGTGTCCGCGAATAATCGGCTCGAACAGCATTGCGTAACGGTACCGGCTGAATGCGCGACTTATGTGTTGGCCGATTTTAACGAGACGACTGCTCGTCGAGTGACGGTAGCCACCAAGGAGAGAATCATTCGAGAGAGACTCACCTGCGGGGCTCGTTGACAGAATTCTTCTTCCGTGAGGGAAGCCAAGGTTGCACCGTCCACGTTGAAGCTCTCCAATGGTACCGAGGGCAACTGCAGTTGCCTTCTGGCCCATTGTATCCAAGCTGCAACGTCCGCCGCGCTCCAGCGTCGTGGTTCTTCAATTAGAAAAAAATACATAACAAATTTCAATGGTACACTTTCGATTTCACTGGCGGAATTTTTCCGACGCTCCTCGCGTTGTGTGGAAATGTTAGAAAAACAGCGGAAGCGAGGAACGACCTTGAAGAAAGCCTCGAAATTTCGTAACTTCTCGTGAAAGCTTATTCCGAGCATGACATCATGCTACCAACTAATAGTCGAACCGGTCGCTCCTACGTTCACGAAGATAACGTCGAACACACTTGCCCGCGGCAAGGTAGCAACAAGGTCTAACAGTCTAATGGACGCTCACGCACCTCCTTATTGCCAGCCGAACACCGTATATCTTGATACAATTTATTAATTCATTACGCGATAATTAGCCGAACGGTCGTTAAGCGCGATAACGAGTCGAAGAGCTTTTCAGTTTCGAAGGACCGGACGGGACAAATTAGCATGAATTGTGGATAATAATTAGCGCGTTGCAATTACTTAAATGAATATCACTTACCAGGATGAATACCGAGTGCCACACAGGTATTATCGAAGTCCTTTTGCAACTGTTGAATGGCCAAGCTGAGTACAGGCTCGATCTGTTCTCTGGTCAGGTCTCCGACGCATTCACCAGGTTCCATGTCTTCCACGAACCCGGTCCCGACGCTTCCAAGGTCCACGGGTCTCAGATTGTACTTCCTCTGAAAGCTAGTATCCCTCAGAACCTCCCTCAGCAACTGATGATCGCTCTTTTGTCCGTCCTTGAAAAGCTCCTCCTCCTTCTCCAGAGGGTTCCTCACTTCGTCCTGTATTCTCTCCAGCTTCAGGTTCGCGGTTGTCCTGGCCACGTCGGCGAACTCCTTTCGAGCACCCTTGAACAGTAGGTTCCTCAACGGGGAACTGTTCTCGAGTTCGATCGGATCCGGGGACGAGGAAGTGCTGGACGAGGACGAGGATGAAGATGACGAGGAGGAATTGCTGATGACGCTGCTGTTGCTGCTGCAACTGGATCGAGGTTCCTCCTTGAACAGGATTTCCTTCAACAACGGGTGCCCTTGCACTGCGGTATCTTCTTTCTTCGCGAAGAAGTCCGCGTCAAGGCTGTTGTAGATGTCCTCCTCCGTTCTAGGAGGCGTACAAGGAACCGTGCAGTCGGTCGAGTCCTCTCTGTAGCCCAGACTCTCGGCCAAGAGTCTGAAATCATGGTTGCAGAGGGGTGTGTTTCATAGGGATGCGCTTGATTAATCGCGTACATGGAACGCGTTTAATTCCATAGAGTCGTACCTGGGCCGATGCGAATAGCAGTGAACGCGTTAAGTGTACCTAAAGGAAAGTGTACCTGGACTCCTGCAAGATGGCCAGAAGGTCGAGGCTCTTCTCCCTTTTGATCGGCTGTTTCGCCGACGGTTCTGGACTGGTTGGATAGAATTGCGCGCTCTGAGGGCTCCTTGGCACGTAATAAGGGCTCGTTGGGTACCCTGGCGAGCCTTCGTGCGAGTAGTTGGGCGACAGTTCACCACCAGCGCCAGGGTAAGGGGGGCTCGAGTAAGTAAGCGGGGAACCGGGACGCGGCGATTGCGCTTCCTGCTTGATCTGAGCTGGTTTCAAAGTATTTTGAGCGTTCGCGGCGCTATAGTCGTCCGACAGAAGTGACAAATCGAACTGGAACGTGGTGTAATCGAACGACGGCGAGTAGCCGGCTGCTGAAGGCACTGTTTGTGGCATCTGAAAAATAAATGAAGATTTTCTGGTCAGTTCGGTATTTATAGAACGTTATAAACTTTAAGCAGAACGCATAACGCTGCAACATTCTTCCTTTATATCCCCCGACAATGCCACGATTTATTTCGGCCTGTACGAGCGAAAAGATCTAAACGAAATGATACACTTTCTTCGAGACTGCAACGATGGACCAAGGGTCCCATTTATCTTTCCACGGTGTTTATTGCCCGTCCAGCGCTTAAACTCGCGTCAGTTTGTTACGCTCCGTAAGTCACTTACGGCTCACGGCGATCCCGAGGTCCATCCTTGAAGGATCACCGAGCGTCCATCCTCGCTGTATCTTACTGTCAACCGTCTAATTCGACCGCTAACGTTATGATCATTCCGATACGAATACGTGACTACGCTTTGAAAAATTTCAATAAATAATCCTTTCAGCAATCCCATTAAATCAAAAAGAACATCCGGCGAGCGGTAATTAAAACTTCACCCCTGCTCGAGGGAACGGGTTCAAAGGATCAAAAGGTTCTCGACGTCGGTATTGCAGCGGGAAGATAGTAGCGTAACCTCGACGAATCCGTGGCTAATAATAAATATCAAGCATAGTTTCCTTGTAAATAATCGTTAACGATTCGCTATTATCCTGGCTAATGTCGAAAACGAAAGGAAGCGTTCGAGCCAAAATGAAACACTTTCTTCGATAGGATGGTGTACCTTGTGCACCTTAAGGGCCCATTTATCTTTCCGTGTGTTTATTGCCCGTCGTGTGTTTGACCTCGCATCAGTTTGTTACGCTTTGTAAGCCCATTACAACGTTCCCAGTGCATCTTCCCTACGCTCAGGCGGGGTCGCGTCTGACATTTTGACGTAGTGCCCCGCAAAGGTCGACGCGAAATAAACGATTATACCCATACAACGGGCCGGAGCGTGGATTTGCACGCTTACACACTCGTTTATACCCACCGCCGGACACAATAACAATCCCCTTCCACCACTGTACGTGTATTCGTACCTGGCACACAACGAAACGAGAGAAAGATAAGCTACGAGGAGAAGAGATACGGGGGAGGGTTCAGGCACAAAAGAGAACCGCTTATTTCTTGACTTCTCCTAGCCTCCCGCGAAAGGTCCCAGGGAGAAGAGAATGTTTATCTATGCTGATGGGATCTATGGACGATGGAATTCTTGCCACGGCTTTCCTGAATCGCCTCTCAGAGAACGGGATGATGCTTTAACTACGTTGACTGGTACATTGTAATGCTAAATTAAATACCAAACTCCTCAAAATGACCAAAATCAACTTTTCACGTTGAATATTATTAGATTATAAAAAAAATTCAATAATTTTGTGTTGCCCAAAGTAATGTTCAGGCAAATTAATTGATAAGTTGGCGATATTCGAGGAAATTGGTCGAGATAGGTTTCGGTATGCTCGTCGAACCGTTCCTTTTACGACCAAAGGACCACAAAATCGTCTCGGTAACAAGTTTTTACGGCTTCCTTGGTTTCCTGCTATCTCTCTGGCCTTTCCTAAGGACCAGTCGTTGACGTCACGTTACCGGCTAACCAACGGTGCAGCTGCATTCTCTCCTTTCGTGCATTAAACACGGAATTCCAGCCGAGTCACGATTCAGGACCGACCTCATCGTTTTCGAGAAATCGACACTGGTTAGATCGATCGCTGACGAAACGAGCCAGAAGGACATTTAATATCGCGACCAATTAAAAATCTTTTATGCCTCGTACGTCGAGTTGTTTCTGCTTTTTGAGCACCTTCGAAGAAATAGACTTTTCAGAAGATATTACAGATGGAATGACGAGAGTTTACAACATTTCACGATAGTCACGGGATCATCATCGAGTTTCGGAGTAATCAACATCTGGACCAAACGAGCTTTGCACGTGATCGATAGTGATTTCACATCCTGACCTTCGATAGCCACTTGACGGAGAAAGCCGGATGACGAATTTCTATGAATTATTTTACAAATGAATCAATTTCCGTGTACGCTGGTGCAATGAATCAGGAGCTCAACTTGACAAGGAGTCAGAATGTTAGCTGACCCTGTTTTCGAAAATTTCGAAAATGTTACTGAGAATAATAAAAAATTCAGAAAATTAGACTTAATTTTGTCACGATACTGATAAAGTATGAAGAAAATATATTGAACCCTTATAGGACAATTATGATTACGCCACTGTAATCAGCGTAGATTTAAGAGGAGGCCTAAGGTGGGCTAGACATAGCCTTGAGCCTCAGTTCATACAGGGGTCATTATAAACCCATTCCTTATAATTAAATGTTACTCAATCTCATTTGTAATACATTTCAATTTTAGAACCAAGTTTATCAACCGAAGGAGTCTTCGAGGGTTTGATAGCCCCGTGGCTCTAGAAGTCTTAATCCGGTTCTGACTGCAATGAATCATTATTTTTCCTGTTAAATTCAAGAAAAATGGGGGCTGCAGGAGTTCGATGCCCTGATTCGGGTACAACAGACAGGTTCAAGGGCGACAATTCCACGGTTCACAGGACCATACCTCAAGGATGATCCTCAATCCGTTGTGACGTAACTATATTAGAAAGGAATATGACGCCACGGTCCCGCTTTGCCAGCCTTGTTTCCACTAATTTTTATTCTTGCACAATTCTATGTATAGTTTTCTATCAAATTGTATGATTAATCGAACAGGTCATTCCTCGATAACAGTAAATTGTTCTGCCATACATGTGTACTTATTTCTGATAAAAGAATTCTCTCTGACATTTCGATAACTGTTATGTAATTGGCAACAATCTTGTAGTATTTTTGACGTATGTGTCATCTATGTATCTCAGCTCGATTAATTTTTTTCTTACAGGATTTTACCCGTTTACACTGGATCTCTAATCGCTCGATTTTTATATATGATTCAACACTTTCCGATTCATAAATCAAACGAAATTCATGGCATTATTAATACGTTCAAATGTTGCAAGATCATACCGTTACCTGTCACGATATTCCACCGCAGCGATCCGCATACTTCTCATCGAGACGATTGTCGTCTGAAACGTGTTGGTGCGGATCGCATTCTCCCGACCCATCGGTGACACTCAACGAATTTTCGTCGACGCTAATTATCCGCGGATGAAACGATCGAATAGAAGGAGAAATAAAACGACGGCACGGAAATAAGCTGAAAAGTAATTAACGACGCGAGCGCGCACAATTGACGCGATCAATTTAATTGCCGGATGAAATCGATTACTTTCAATTGTTCTCGTGGTTTCATCGAACTGCGCGCAGCAATTCTGAAACTAATTAAACATCATTTTCCTCGCGATAATTAATGGAGCGTCAAAGCGGCTGATTTAAATCGTTACAAAGAAACTGCGAGGAGCAACGGTGAAGCGACAGGTAAAGAGGAAACATCCATTACAAAGATGTTTTCCCAGAATCACGTAACAGCAGAAATAAATGATTAACTCGTTGAATAAAATCGATTATCCGTAAACGCATTGACAATCAGGAACTAATGTTCGATTATTTTATCCTCGACACTTTGAAAAATAAAAATATAAAAGATCTAACACTGCACCATAAGTTTCGTCGTCACGTAAAGCACTTACACGACACTTGCCCGAGTGAAATGGTGAAAGAACGGTAACTAAACGCACAGCATAGAAATTGCTTGAAAACTACGAAAATGCTCGTTAAACACCGACACGTTCACCTGGAAATCTTCTGATGGCTACGCGGGCGGTCGAGTATTTGAATCGAACGTGAACGACCGCTCTTCTGGAACACGTGTACCATCCATGACAGTTGCGTACTATCTAAGATCATCGTCTCTCGCGATCGTCCCTCCTCTTACTCTACATTCAAACAAGAAGTACACACACATACTTCTTCGCGTTATTAGCAGATGTAGAGTTGTTAATTTGAGAGCAGTTTACTTTTAATTGGAGCTACTGATTCGGACCGGCTACTTGAAATACCCGAGTGCCCATATAAGCGAAATTACCCGAGTAACCGGGTATCTCACGAGACAGTTGAAATTTTCGATACGAAAGCCAAAATATAGGAAGACTTATGTAAGGACTCGCTGGTCCGCCGAGTGGTAGTCGGCCATCACTTAATTTACTCCACCGTCTGACCACCGACACCTCTACTACTTACACCGGACAGTTCTAATCTCACACTCCCAACGCGTTTATTACGAGAAATTCCAATGCAAAACGTATAGGTAGTAAATTTATATGAGTATTAGGGATTTACTGTTTGTTAAATCTGTTAGGTCATCAATTTACGTAGGTTCCTCGGTTGTTTCTGAGAAATATTTTTTTTTTATTTTACTTTTGTTACACGCTTTCTGAGAATTGACGCACGTGTTTGATATTTATATCAGAACTACATAATGTAACAATTAAGTCTTCAACAATGTTTCAAAGCGTTCAACTCGAAACAAAGCGAGACATTAATCTATGTACGAGTTTGCAGGATAATGAGGAATAAACTTTGCATAGATTTTTACAGATTCTAATTAGCATATCATTGAATTTGTAATAAAGAAACGTTCAGATTAAAAGTTGATGATAAAGAAACGTTTTGTATTTTAATTTCTACCCTGTTTACCTGTTTTATCGTCTGTTTTCTTCAACTCTGTTTTTATCTAAACAAGAAAAAAGCAGACTTTCCTTCATTCTTTGCAGTTAACCTTTCCTTCTTCCTCAGTTACGAGGACAAGAAGATTCTCCGTTGCATCGGCAATCTTATGAAAATTACTTAGATGTTTCCTTGATTAGTTTCACAAGAATCCCGTGTAAACTCAATTACGATCGAAACTGTCGATACGACTCGATTATCGATTCTATGCGATCTATAACGAACCTTGATGACCTCGTAACGAAACCCTCGACCCTTTCAAACTCCTATATTCCTGATGCTCTTATGTTGTCATTAAGTAGATCATAGAGATTAAAACACAATTTATTTGAAAAGTATAAGAATGCAATTGAAGATTTTGCAGCTAAAGGATTGCAGCTGCATTTTTATCAGCTTATCAAATTTATTGCTTTGATTTAACGTTAAAAAGAGAATACGAGAAAAAGAGAAAATTTGCATCGGATCGCGCCTGCATCGTTCAGGTCGGGTTCTCGCCCATTTACGTTTTCAAGACCCGATCCGACCCGACCCGACCCGAATTTTTGAGTACTCCCACACAATAACTCTATTCAAAATAGAGCTATATCTCTCTTACTGCAGGATCCTCAATCCCTGCTGTCTCCTGAGCGATTAAAATCGTGACAGGGAAGAGAAATGAGGAAAAGGGGTATGCAGGTGTATATCAGGGAACTGTAAATCTGGCACATATTTGAATACTCGTATCGTGAGGATGACTAACGGTATACCAACTGGATTCCGTTCGAGTAACACAAGAACAAACGACAAAAAATTGCAGAAGCAAAAAGCACAAAGAAACTGTTTATTATTCGATTAACTACGATCAATTAATCAACGACCAATTCAAGCGTTCTTACAACAATAAAAAGCCAAATAAAAGCCGCTATTTTTCCATTTCAGATACTTTGAAATTCCTTCAAAAATGTTTTGTTGGGCGTAAAAAGAGAAACGGATCGAATAAGAAGAAACAGAGAAGGAGGGTGGCAAAAGGAGCAACATCGTCGGGAAAGAAACTGAAATCAGAGTTTCTAAGTAACGTGCATCGACGTGGCACGTGTGTACGAACCACTTGAGAGTACAAGTTATGCTCGAACCGGCGCATAACGATAATGTGCATAACTTATGCGCATATAATGCAAGTACTCCGCGCGAACCATCGACGTTACACCTTGGTGGTGTTGCTATATGGTAAGCTGGCATGGTAAACTAGCTGAAGATTCCGAATGGCAATAACGTTGACTAAACACGGCCGCGGGAACGGGCCTCTTTATTCCCGCGCCTTTCCTCGCTCGATAAGGAATGCGCGTTTCCACGTAAAGTGGCAAATAATGATGCATCGAGCTTTATATTAATCTTAACACACCGAAGTACCGTTTACGAGCGCGTGTAAAAAACAAAAAACACTGAACAGAAAAAAAACACAGTTGTCTGAGTTTCTTGACTCACGATCCTTTTCTTTTTTTTTCGTTTCACAAATTTGATCCCGTTAGAAAGGGACGCTGGCCTCTGTCACGGAATGACAGCACGGTCAGCGCCATAGCGAAAAATAGAAGAAAGAAAGACGAAGTAGCGTGGAAGGTGGAAGGAAGGCGAGGCAAGACAAATAAATAGGGAGTCGCGATAGCGTAAATAGTAACATAATACCGCATAATGGGGGCATAACGCGGCTCGGTAATGCCGTCTGTGCATCACCGTGAAAGAAGTTACGGCAGGTCTGCCTTTGTCCGTCGCGAGCGGCCCTTAAGGCCGCGTTATTAAACGTTTTATAGGGATCTCTCCGAGGCCGTTGTCCTAGAACACCGGTCTGCTCTCCTCGTGTAACCCCGTGGACGTTATAAATTCGACCTGTTCCCGGTACGAACACCTGGACTCTAGTACCGATTGCAAACGATCCTCGAGCATTTTTGCCGAAGTAAACACCGTAACGAGGCCACCTTTATGCGCGCCCAATGATTGCGTCATTTGTTGAATTTAGGCACGATAATTTTAAAACTGACGTGGGATTTTCTGAACACGCGCTTAATATATGGATAGATTTAAAGTGGACTCGAAACTGAGATACTTTGCTGAATTATGTCATGGTGAAGTCATAAAGTTTGAACAGCGTTAAGGATGATTTTAGAGACTGAATTTTGGAGACTTCGACGCATGGGTAGGAAAGCGCCGTCCATGGTCCGAACGATTAGTTCTATCATGGAAGGGTATAACACGCGAGTCGATTCTAAACGTTTTCTATCGGGTTCCAGGCTTGCTACCTCGACCGCATAATCGAGTCTCGTTAATAATTGCCTCATTATTGCGCACCGTTGCGCCGCATCGTTTGTAGCCGAGATATTGGCAGTGTTCGCTATTAATAACACTTTGCCGCCCACGCATCGCCATTGTTGCGAGTGGGTCCCGCGCGTTACACGTGTGCGCGTTGCTAGCGCGGTGCATACATTACGATGCATCCTCGAGGATGCACTCAGCGGCCCAACAAAGGCGCGAAAAGCCCGCGTTCCGCATAATCCAACGATTCAATTCCATGGATACGAGGCTCGATCGTATTCATTGCCCCTTGCATTTTTCATTCTTCTTTTCTCAATCGAAAAACAAGGAGCCAGAGTTTTTGGCATTGCAGAGATATTTCGAATACCTCAGCCCGACGACTAATTTCTTCCATTTTTAATTAATAGGAGAAATCAAGGTAGGTATTAAACCTGAGCGTGGTAATCGTGTTGCAGCAAAGGCGAATATAAATAAACGATACGACCATTAATTTTCTTAAATGGAGCAGGAGACTTTGTATTGCGTGGTTAGCCGATCGTAATGGATTGTAAATCGCGGCAAGTTCGCGATACGTATCGGTCTATGCGATCTTTAGGCAAGAATAAAGATTTGTATCGGGAAAAACCGTCTCTTGAAGTCATGAGTCGTATATCGATTGTTAAACACTCGTGAGCCATCAACGATACGATCTCCTCTAAGTTTTTATGCCTCTGTGACACGGTACACGGTTTTTTCCACGATCAAATAGAAATATAATTCTTGAAAAATGATCGATCCGTTTGTTCAAATTCTTTCTACGTCAATGGAGATCCTGAGTCCTGGCTGGAAATGGATTTCGAAGAAGAAAAAAGAAAGAAAGACGGGAAAAAACGAGATTACTTTTATATAAATATGCTGATTTGGCGCCTAGGCTATGGGATTCCGGATATAGAAGCACCAATCATTGTTTACGATAAGATAAAACTTTGCTCCGATTTTAAATTAGCTACCCGGAAGAATGTCGATCACCCACGTACGCAGAGGGACAAAAAACGCGACAGATTCAGACGTGTAATGATCGATACGATCGATACGATCGGTACGTATTGGATCGTTTCGTAAGGAGAAAAAAAAAACCAGGAATGATCCACGAGTGTTTTGGTATTCGAAAAATAACTCTCATTTCTAGTCGGCATTCCTTCTCGAACAACATTTTAGCATATTTAATTAAGTTCTTGTAGTAAATATACTATTCGTTCTCTTTTTTTTAGTTCGTCTTTTAATTTCATAAAGCAATAAGGAAAAATTTTAAGTCATCCAGACAGAAGTATAACACTAAACTAAATCTTTTTCGACCAAAAAAATATTTTCATATTATACTCTGATTCTATCTAGGTATGCTCGTAAAACATGATGACTAAATTCACCTTCGACACACAAGCCAGATACGATCGAAATCACGGAAACATTATGTATTCCACAGATTTACAACCGTCTTATTTTTCATTTAATACCCGTATCGCCGTCGCACGTGAATATAAACTAGCGCGACACATTGGCGTAACTAGATAGGAGGTAGGGTGGCCCCTTCTTCATTTAGAAACATTAAGATTCAAAAATTTCACAATTTCAGAATTCTAGAATTTTTAAAATGATGTTTCAGATTTAAAAAATTTCGCAATTTTAAAATTTCAGCATTCCTCTAAAATTAAAAAATTCCAGAATTTCAGAATTATAGAATGATAAAGTTTCTATAAGATCTCGCCCACCATAGAAAAAAAACCAGTTACGCTAATAGTACAGTAGTTGGTTCTTGACGTCATCAACCTTATTTCTGTCTAATCACCTACTAATTATCGAAACTTTTAAAGTGTACTTGACGATATAAGGTGCGCGGTGAGATCGCAATCACCAGGTGAGACAGTCACTATTTCTGACTCACCCTATACATCACGCGTGCACTTTTTTTTTTTTTTCTTTCGAGTTACGTCGACGGCTTCCGTCCCTTCCTTTTTGCACCCTTTGCGTCATTCCTCTCCCACTGTCTATTCGAGT